CTTTGTGATGCACATGTCTTGAAGACTGTGGTCAATGTTGATCCATTCTATCCAATACTGGTGAAGGAGTTAATTGCAAACCTTCCCAAAGTTTTCAACGATGCTGGAAGCAATGAATACAAAAAATTTCATGTTCATGGAAATTGCTTTGATTTCTCACCAGCCACCATTAATGAATATCAATGAAAAGGAAAATCCATTACTGCTGACCATGTGACTTCTATGAAGATCATTGCTCAAGAAACAATAGGAAACATCCATGGCGATTGGCCATCCAAAGGTTTTCTAATTGCCTCAAACTTAAGCTTAAAATATGCTATCCTTTACAAGATTGATGTTGCCAATTGGGCACCCTCCAACCATGGTTTAAGTATTACTCTAGACCTTTCTAACTTGTTACATTAAATATGAACTAGGGTTGCATTTGACTTTAAGGAATATGTGTTTAAGCAAGTTGTTAAGCATGCAGAATCATATGTTATCAATCTTCCTATTAGATTTATTGGCCAAAAGAATGATATTATTTTCGTGGAAGATGAAGTAAGCGTTTATCCTAGTTTGTTGAACTTTAGTTATAAGCTGTTTGCGGGGAAACATGTCCCTGATATTGTTCATCTTAATATTCCAAATCTTGATTAGTCTGATCTACAAGTTAGTGAAAATATGATTGATGTCTCGCTCGTGCATAGACCTTCTTCCATTACCATCTCCCCAAGTTTCTTATGAATTAAGTTAAGGTATTACATGAAATCATAACTACTTCCACTACCATAAAAGGTGTGATTGAATGAATTATTCAAATGCTGAATCCAAAGGTTGCCAGTGCCCCATCTTCTCAAGTTGTTGTACAAGGTGTTAAGAAAGATGTTGAGACAATGGGTGTGGATGAAGACCTGGAAAGTAGTGATGAAGATGAAGATGTTGAGTACAAGATCGACTCTAGTGATGACCCTACTACCTCCTCCTAGTAAAATTCCATGTGGTCTTGAGAAATGTATGTTTTGTTCTTTAGCTGTGTTTTTCTAATGATTATGATGTTATATGCCATATGTATGGCCAAATAACATGTTTTGATTTTTGATGAAGACTTGCTTTGAATTATCAAGTCAACACAAAAATTTGGCATCCTTTGATGTTTTCAAGATTCCCTCTTATTGGTATCCTATAAAAATAAAAGTTTGTATTATTTGATGTTTTCAAAATTCCCTCTCAAAAATAAAGTTCATATATTTATAGCTTACAACAATAAAATATACAATAATACAAGTTATGCACAGCAAAATCGTTAAATAATATAAGTTGTGTGTAATTTCCTAACACCGATTCAATTATGTTCAACACTACTTATTCAAAAAATATACCATGCGATGATATGATTATATAAACTACATATTCAACTCAACACATAAAGAAGCATAATAGACTAATTGACAAAATTATTTTACAATATTGAGAAGAAATAATTTCAAAGAAAAAAATCCATAGAATATAAAGTCACAAGTGAACATGTTCTTGTTAAATTTGAGGTGAGCCTTGCTAGCACGGTGTTATGAACAAGGCCCTACTAATGTATCTGTGGGTGATTAGAAATCATGTTAGCAAACACATCAGAACCATTGATATTTTAGTTTTATAATTGAATGATTAACACTAATGTTGATCCTCTATAGGTATAGGGGTGTACGATCGAACCCGATTAAGGACGCTAATATAACTGATGATTAGAGGTAGCAATTGGTAAATCTCTTCTCATAATGGGCAAGAGAGTGGAGGCGGCGATTTAGCCTGCCTTTGTGTAAGGGAAACCATGGCAGAAGTTATTGATATTTATGTGTTTTGATTCAGGTCTTGATCTAAGGAGCCTAAAGACTGAGTTATGTGTCTAATTGAAGGCGACAACCACTCTTTTATCCTCGTGCCAAGACACATGCTGGTGTGTTAGGCTTCTAATATTAATCCCTAGACTTAAGATTATATAAGATAAAATTCATGATCTTCAAGCTTTACATTAATCCACAACCTTACATTATGAGCCATTATTATAACTATAATTTTTTAAATATTTTTTTTTAATTATAATTGTGTATAAGATACTCTCGCCATTATTATCTGCAAAAATTCTCTTTTTAGATTTATTAAATAATAAATATATTTAGTTTTTTATGTACACTAAATATATTAATTATTAAATAAATTAAAAAAGAGAATTTTTATTTATAATAATGATCAAAAGGTATACATATACATGTATTGTTTCATCACATTTTTTTAGAGACTAAAATAAATTTTTTTATAAAAATTAAAACTCGACTTTCTTTATAAGAATTAAAAATATATTTAGTCCATAATTAATTAAAAGATTTTATTAATTATTTATTTCAAGATACAATGATAGTACATATGGAGTAATAATTGTTGCAAAAATAAATAAATTAAAAGGTTACACATGAACATTGTTTGCGGTAAAAAGTAAAAGAGTAAATATGTTTTTATCTAAATATTTCAAATTTTATTTTAGTCTCTATTAAAAAAAATACATTTTAGTTTTTACAAAATTTTTATTCATACAATTTTAGTTAAAATTTTAAAAACTGTTTAATTATACTTAAATTTTTAAATTTTTGAATAATTTTTATCATATATGTTTAGTGTTCTGGACAGAGTCTGACCATTTGCTCGCAAGGACAACTGCTATCTCGGCCATTTTCACCATTCCAATCATGCTGACAGTGAGGTGCTTTCTCCGACTTTCTTTGTCGAGCCGTCTGATGATATCGACCTCGTTGTCGGATACGTTTAAGAGAATGAAATCTTTTTCCACAAAACAGGATGGCAGACTGAAGGCCCGGGCACCCACCCCTCCATCGGTCACCTCGACTTCACCTTCTAGTCGACTATGGTATGGTATGTATGGTGACTGGTCTTCAAGTTTTGCTTTTGATGGCTCGCCCAGCGTGAAGTTACGAAGGTGTATGGCTGTTTTTTGTTGGCTGCTAACATTTGTTGATCAAGTTAGCTGGTGAGGCCTGATTGATCCATGTAGTAACTTATATGTTTTGAAAGCCCTTAATGGCATATTTGTCCTCCCAACTGCTATATTTGCTTAAAGCTGTAAATAGGGTAGTTAAGTATATGGTTTAGGATGATATTACCTTTGGTGTACTTGTTTTACAGGGTACAATTTTTTTAAATACTACTTTACTCTGCATGGAAATCAATGAAAGGTTGTTAAGGTGGAGTTAGGTTTATTGTGATTTTGTTAAACTCACTCTAATTTAAACATGCATAAAATTGAGCTCGACTCCACAAGGGTAGTCAATAGCGGAGGCCGGCCTATGGGAAGAGAGTTTTAGCGGTGCAGAACACTATAGCGGCTGTTAAATGGTAAATAGTGGGATAGCAAAGTATAGTGGTTCCTAGCCCGAAGTGGTTTCTGGCCCACTATCCTTTTCCCTCCAAAAAAACCGAAATTACCCCTTAAATTTACAATATTTTAAGAGTAATTTTGAGTTTCTCAATCAAATTTGAGTTGAGACTTAATTTTAATATTTCTTCCTTCCTAGTTGTTTATGCACTTCAAAAATCATAGTGTTTTGAGTTATGAATATTGAGTTGATTTATTTATATAATTTTAAATTAAATATATGTTTATAATTATTATACGTAATTTGATTAAATATGATAAAAATAGATTTGTATTTTGCATTTTACACTACTACTTATTTGTGGAGTATCAAAACATGACGAAGAAATGCATAGTATATCCATGTGATGTTATTTCTGATCAAAGTGTACAATTGCATGATTTCCTTCCTTTCACCATTTTTCACCAACAATCTTGCCTTTTGGTGGACCTATATAAAGTGCTTACAAAGCCATGGTGATAAAAAACAAAGTATCATTTCCACTTCTCAAATTACCTCATACACATGAAGATTGATCAACCCCTCTAAAAAAAATGTGACATTTTACCTAAAACATATTTTCAACACGGTGAAAGTATGATATCAGATAGAAATTTATGGTGGAAGTTGATTGTGTAGCCAATTCTAATTAGAAGGATAAAACTTGATTGTTGATTTTGTTTTCAACAATATATTTTACCAGATTTTCGATAATATATTTTGATAGACTTCGAACATATATGAGTGTGTGAATTAAGAAAAAATTTCACATGTATTCAATTCTCTTCACATCACCCCATTATACGTATGGGACATGTAAGTATTGTGTTTCCTGACAAAAATCAACCACATGAAGAAAAGAAAAAGACAAGAGTGATTTTTTCATAATCTACCATTTCTCAAAAAGAGAAAAAGCATATGGTGCACTCCAACTTGAGGTCCCAACCAACAAAGGTAGAACAATGGTCTCAGATATCTATAATAGTGGTGGTGTCTCCCTTTCCCTCATGATTCAGTTTCTGTAGCAGCTTTCACACAAGGGTAGAAAGAGAAGATAGAAGAGAGTGGAATCTGTTTAAGCGAAAGAAAGAAAAAAGTAACAAAGAAAAAAGAAAAGACTCTAGAGCTATGTCCAGTCATTAGTAGAAAGAGCCCAACCAAATCATTTCTTTCTTACTCTTCAAATTGAGTAAAAGGGTCCTCTTGAATCTCCTCATCACTCTTTACAACATATGAAGATTACTCTTTTGCCCAACAGAGCTTATAACCTTTTGACCATGTCGAGGGTTATCTTAGGAATGTTTGACCCTTATTATGATATTAATATTTTCCTTTAGCTTAAGTATATAAACTTAGAGTGCACAACTTTTGCACAAAAACTCAATAAAACTACTAGTTTCACATGCTTTACTTTTACATAAACTTTTGGTGGCTAATCATAAGTGAGATTAGACTATATAATATGAATATAACATTTCATGACCACATATGTGGCTTAATTATTTCATCTATCTATATGGTACCATTATTATGTTACATTACTAACTAACAAAATTTAGATTGTTACATCACACTTCATATTTTTTAAAGAAACATTTAACATACATTGGGTCCAAACCCCACATATCCATTAGCTCCATCTACTGAAATTTCAATCCCTTCTTGTTGGATGTTCCCTATGATAGAAAGGCCAGAGGAAGAAGAAGCAAATGCAAAGCAGAAAGTTCCAACATCATCCACTGGAATTAAGAAGTTCCTTGCTGGAAGGGTCAATATAGGCCCACCCAAGAAATAAAATGATATGGTTGGAACCCGAACCGTCATAAACCCGTTTAAATCATAACAAGTGTCAAAAATCGATACCCCGGATGATGTCCGGGGCAGGTTTGTCGTTTGAGCAATAAATGCATCTCGAAAGGCGTCATAAGCCGCCACAGGCAGCCTCGTCACGGCTGTGCCAGTGTCCATGACCACCCCTCCCTCACCTAATTCGCTTAACCGAAAAACATCTTCCGATATAGGCACCCTCAGGCCCCCAACTCCTAGACCTGAAAGCCCGATATAATAAAAACTCGGAGCCCGTGGATTATGGATCAGAGAAACCCACGAAGCCCCCACGGGCACCGATTCACGTCCGAATTCTAGTGATCCGGACGATTCAATGCCCCGACTAACTAAACAATAACTAAACATACTACCGGTTTGTCCGCCCAATTGGCCCACAAATGACATAGGCCCACTTCCAAGGCCCAACAACCCGGCTGCTCCTACGAACATCCCCTGGTTCCTATGCCCGCACCCGATAGCCACGTTTTGGATCACTGTCCCTCCCAATGTAACAGTCTCAAGAGCAAGTGTCCCTTTAGTATATGACCCATCCCCATAAGAAACTTCATATTTGCACCTCCCTTCTTGGCACCCTGCATTCTCCACGCGGCTGCACACGGTGGAGCCACAAGACACACCCGAATAAGAAGATGAATCTTCCGGGTTAAAAACCGGGTCGGATTGTCGATAACATTGAGTACAAGGTTGACACTGGACCCAAATAATGTCACTACCCGAATCAATAACCACATATTGATTTTTTGGCGGGCTTCCGACTCCTATTCTAACGAAATACTCTCCACTTCCCTGCTCCATACCCGAAACCACATCCGACCCGAATTCCTCTGCTTCGTACCCGGAAGCTCCGGCGATACGGCGCACAACGGCGGCGACCCTTTTGGAATCTCTCTTCATTCGTGCATTGAAACGGCTTCGATGATCACGGGAAATGGTAAAGGTAGGGATTTTATCTCTGTGAAAAAGCTTCAGTTTCAGTTTTCCTGATTCTGGTTTCTCACTAATGGTTTCAGTTTTGGCTTTTTTGTTTTCTTGGGGTTGTTTGGTTGTATGAAAAGGCTTCACCTTTAGTTTTGTTTCTGCAATGGTTTGTTTCACGTTGAGGTGTTGGAAATTAGGGTATGAAAGGTTATGCGAAGGTGATGAAGTTGAGGTGGTTAGAAAGAGCAATGGTAGAAGGAGCAAAACCAAAACCATGATGTTTTATGTGTTTATGTATGAGAGACAAGGTTGTTGGTGTTTATGTTTGGGAAGTATAAGGATTTATGTTGGAAATGTGTGTGTGGTGGAGGGATTAATTTGGTTGGGTTTTGGGACTGTAGGGAGAGAAAAGTTGATAGTGTGGAAATAATTGAATGTGGGGGAGTATTTGTTTTCGTAGTTTTGTATTTGGAATGGTTTTTGTCCAAGTATGAGAGAGGGAGTGGAAAGGGCCATGCATGTTTGGGTTGGTGATTTACAGCAAGATGGAAAGGTAGTTGGTGAGGTGGTGTATAAATTTTGTTAAGAGATTTGATGAGGTAAATAAAATCATGATCCTTAACTTTTGATTAATTGTGTTGTGCTTGTTTGGTCTTTAATCTTATTACATGATGAAAATAATTTTATTTAGTTTGTTACTGTTTACCTAGGGTTTTGGTAAACAACCGCTGATCCTCCAAATGGTTACTTATTTGGTTACTCGCAGGATCGATCAGATTGATCCTATGGACATAGGTTGATTTTGAAGTTTGATTAAAGTGGATAAGGCTTTAAGTAAAATGTTTCAAGTAAATTGCATAAAGGAAAGGCTTGGTAAAATAAATAAGGCTTTAAAGTAAAGGTTCGACAGGAATTTAAAGGGGAAAAGCATGTAAAATACTGGAAAAGTAAATGACTTTAATTGATAAAAATTGGTGTTTCACACATACATTTCTCAACAATTCTTTCGCTCACACTGGGTACTTGAATCTAAATGAGTGACTATGTATTTATTGTGAACACACGCGAGAAACTACACGTCTACTCCTATTTATACAAAAACATTCCAAGTAACCGTCGGGCAGTTACACTGCTTCGAGATTAAGCCACTTGGCACGTTCTCCATGCTCGACGCTCCAGATCCTTGCACGTTTGCACGTAGTAACTGCTGGAAACCGTTTTCCCTCCAAAGCTTTGAATTTCAAACCGCTCCACTCTGAACCATCGAACACGTTCATCAAGAGACGTCTTCGACGAAAACTCCTTCGACGCCGAAGGCAATCAGCCTTCTTCCTTGGAAGAAATCTTCTAAGTATTTTGCCATCTTTCGACGGGCACTTCGATAGGCTTAGCCAGTCGAAAGCATCTTTCAGCTTTTATTGGCTGCCATCAATCAAAACAAAGGTGTCGAATTTAGGAGCCAACAAATTGCCCCCCAAGAATGCCTTATTTCGACTCTGAAAGAAAAAGGCATTCTTTGAAAACGCCATTCGACACCTGTTTTTCCACGCTTAGTCACAAGTTAACTTGTGCACTTTTTGTTGCTTTTTACCAACTATTGACAATCCCAAGAAACCATCATTGATTTGATCCTAGGACGTCACTTTCGGTACGGCGTGCAGTACCAAACGTCAGTTCAGAATTTGTCATTATGACAAATCCCAAAAACGAGGACGCACGCTGCGTCTCTCTGTTTCTGCAGAAACGGCCAAAACAACAGGATGCTGCCACGCGTCCCACTACTTCCTGCAGCATTAAATGACATTTAATGTCCTCGTTATTGGGAATTTCTCCCACTACTATAAATAGTAGTGAATATCCCATTGTGGGACTTTTCACGCACATTAGCCCTCAAACTCCCTTGCTTTCATACAAACTTGCTCTCTTTGCAGAAAAAACTCTTCCTTTTCCACTTCATCTTCATCCTCAAAAATGGCCTCTGCTTCTACTGCCCCCAAGACTAACGCAACAACTGAGCAACTTGTTAAACCCAAGGTCTTTGTTACTGCTCCGGTAGTGAACTCTACAGGGAAACGAAGGGTCCCTGAACCTTCTGACATCTCCGTTCGCGATGCTTACTCGCGTCACTTGATGATCCCGGTTGGATACTCCAACCAGATCTTCGCAATGTCTGGACCCATGAACCCAAGCATCTCTGAAGCTCTGAAGATCAAGAGCTACTTTCCCATCGTCGAGAAACTTAAACCAGTAGCATGCGCCAAGAAGGACGCACAAGACAACGAAGACCCTACACACGAGAAGATCGACCTTCGTTTCTTCAACAAAAGTGTTAGAGTCTTCAGGTCTTGCCCTAATCTGACCTCTGACTATGTTGCTTGGCTAACAAAGTTGGAGAAACATCAAACTCCAGTCTGGAAGGAAATGGGAATCTTTGACCTAGTAATGCTGTCGAAGACAGGTTTAAACTACTCCCCAGAGATGCTTATAGCTTCGCTGTTGTTCTGGGATAACTCTCACTTCACCTTTCACCTTCCATGTGGGATGTTAACCCCCACACTCTTCGACGTAGCGGCCATTACTGGCCTTCGACCAACCGGAGATTACTTCGACCCGGAGGAGATGTCGGAGGACCAAATTGGTTTCTCTGAGACCAAGCCAACATTCACCACCTTTATCAACCATTATCACGACAGGTCGACGGACACAGTGTCAGATGTCGAACACATAGCGTTTCTAGCCTTATGGCTAACTCGCTTTGTGTTTTGCTCGAAATCTCTACAAGTGACCAAAAAGATGGTCACTCTGGCCACCCAACTGCATCACCGCCAAAACATCTGTTTGGCAGAACTAATTCTGGCCAGTCTTTATGACTCAATCAGCAATGGGGTTACTCTCCTGAAACATGTCGAAGATAGGAACAGTTTGCTACTCGCTGGGCCTTTCTGGCTACTTCAACTGTGGCTCAACGCCACTTTCGAATCCTTCTTACCCAAGAAGAATCAGATAAATGAACAAGCCCCAGCGATAGCTAATAGACGTATCGAAAGAATTAGGTTGGCTCTACTGACACCTGTGGAAGATGGGCTAGAGTTCCAACAAACCTTCACTAACTTCGTTCTGATGTTCGCTCGAAGGAAGGAATTTGTTTCAACTATGGCTCCATTTGCTCAACGGAAAGTGGGGCCAGCATGGTTCACAAGGCCACACCCAAAGGAGTCGAGTGGTCCCAACGTCGATGAGCACACTGTACTTTGGGAGGCGTTCCTGACACCCAGGATCATGCCTCTTCGATTTAAGAGTTCTAAGACTCATTTGAGTCTGCTTGCCTATCAACCCAATCTGGTATCTCGCCAGTTTGGTATCATCCAAACCCTGCCTTCTCCCATTTTCCAAAGAGAGAAGTCAATGTTGTACTTCTGCAACGATTATACAGAAGACGCTGCTACCAAGCATATCGGAAGATATGCTGGTCGAACAATCCTCTCACTGTTCAACTACCAGCTTAACTTCCTTTGCTCACCATCTTTTGAAGAGTGGTGGAGAAGCTATTATGCTGAGTACTTCTTCGATGAGAAGGACTTCATAGCAGAGTTGCAGAAGTCTTTTGTCCTTGTGTTGGACAAAGTAAAGAAATGTAAGTTCATGCTCTCACATTTCTTTTTATCTTTCTCTTCGATTGTTAGCCTGTTAATTTTCCTTTTCGCTTTCAGTTGTTCGAAAGCCCCTAGCCAAGAAAGCTACAGGAGGCCCACAAGGAGGAGTCCCTTCGACAAAACCCCCACCGCCGGCGAAGACTATAGCGCCAGCGAAGACAACGGGCAACCAACAGGGGGAAGGCTCTTCGAGGAGGCCTCCTGCATCGGTAACCAGATTTCCTTCATTTTCATTCTGGCTTTCGATTTTTTATTTTCGACGTGATTATTCAATCGAATTCCTATTGGTTTTATAGGCCCCTTCGCCCAAGAAAAGGGCAGCATTGGTGATCGAATCGGGGAGTGATGACGACAGTGATTCCCCTTCTTCTCCCTTAAAGAGGCGAAAGTTAACGAAGGACGCTTCTGTTCCTACTCCTGCTCCTGAAGGTCGAACCGTCAGAATAAAGGTTGGTGTGAGGAAGCCTAGGCCACCTGCAGTGGTCATCGAGGAACCAACTGAGGAGGAACTGAACGCTCTTGTTACCAAGCCTGTCGAAAGTGACAATTCCAGCCCTGGGGCTGAGGTTAATCCACAGGTAATCTATTAGACCCTTCTCATAACTTAGACATAGATACCAGTATTCGATTATGTCTCTTTCGACATCTGAAGACTTGTCTTCTTTCTTTTCTTCAGGACACCACTGAAAGTTCTCCACCAAGGACTTCAGAAACTCTAGAATCTGCTGAACTTAGCAGGCCTCTGGTAAAAGATTTGGGCAATGACGAAGCCCATACTGATAATGAGGCCAATGCTGAAACAGTGGAGAAGACAACAGAAGAACCTATGGTGGAGGAAACACAGCCAGAAACGGTTCCTGTGGTGGACTTGTTGTCAGAAGAGAATCCTGAAGGAAGAGACCAAGACAATGGCGAAGAGAATCAAGATGCTGTTGACGAAGAGCATCAAGGTGGTACTGGCGAAGACCACCAGGGTGACGCTAGCGAAGAGCCACAAAATGACGCTGGCGAAGGACCCCAAGGTGATGTTAACAAAGAACCACAAGTCGATGCTAGTACCGCCTCAGTTCAAGTCGAAGAGCAACCAAACGAGGCACTCAGCATTCAACAGCCTCCAGTCCAAGATAATACCATGGCAAGGGTCACCTCCTCAAAGCACAGGTCAAAAGAGGACTTGGAAATCTTGAAACAAACTGACCCTGTCAGCTACCTTAATGCCATCGTCGAGAGTAAGAGTTCTTCTAACACTAGTCAGGAAATCCCTACTCTGTCGGGGAAATCAACTGAGACTTCTCCTCTTGATGATGCATTGGCGAAGGTTAAGGCCCAGTTCTTCAAGAGAGATTTAATGAAGGCTTTAGAGGGGGACCCCACTGCTCCATCATGCTTAAAAGAGGTTTTGAATGCTGTTGACTTCGATGTTGTAGCCCCAGAAATCTCAGACTTAATCATGGAATTACATTCTATGATTGATCAAGTCTCAGCGGATTACAGGCGTCAACGAACTTTTAACAGTCAGCTCGAAACGCTGCATGGCAAGAGCTTATCTGCGTGGACTGCTGTCTCAAGTTCGACTTCTCGAATTGCCGAGTTGTCGAAACAGAAAGCGTCTGCACAGGAAAG